CATGAGAGAAAGCCTGAAGGAGATTTCGTTGACAGAAGGAGGGCAGTATGAGTTGGTAGTGTGAGAGGTTACAAAGAATAGGCAATTTGAAGACAGTTTTAATGGAAATAAAGTATCCCAAACAAGAAAGCTCATAGTCCCTCTGTGATCTGCACTGGTTAGACCACATACCATATTTATTTCCGCACACAGCACTTTATGACTCTCTGGCTTTGACGAGCTAGAGTGAATCCAAGGGAGAGTGATTTGAATGGGTGGAAGACTTCAGAACCTTGTCTTAAGAATATGGTTGAAAGTTGGAGCCACAAACGTAGTGGTTAAGTGCGCGCGCTCTGTTGCGGTGGCCCAGGGTTCGCAGGTTCGGATCCCAGGCACACACTGATGCACCACTTGTCAAGCCATGCTGTGGTGGCGTCCCATATAAAGTGGAGGAAGATGGGCACAGATGTTAGCCCAGGGCCAGTCTTCCTCAGCAAAAAGAGGAGGATTGGCGTGGATGTTAGCTCAGGGCTGATCTTCCTCACAAAAAAAAAAAAGTTGGGGCCACAAATACTGGAGAAGAGAAACTTGCTGGACTGTGAGAGCAGCCTCAGGGATTTGAAAGGCTGTCTTGGAGCCTGGCTTAAACGACTTCTGGGGGACTTGAGGACTAGTAGATGAGAATTGCAGGAAGGCTGATTGTGCTCTGTAGAAGGAAGATGGCCTTGCCAGTGCCTCTCTCAGCAGAACAGAAGCCTCAAGGGTTTTTGTTGGCCTCTGCTCAGGCCTTCCCAGAGCACCACCAATTGACCACGGCCCACAGTGTCTGCTCAGGGAGTCAGGAGCCCTTTCAAGCCCCATCTCAGAAGTCCTCGCTCCCAAGCTCAGTGTAAGGACCGTTGCTCCGTTGCTCGGAAGGGGAACTGACCTGGCCAGAGGCAGTTGGATTCTGGGCCCATGGTAAAGGCAAATAAGTCTCTGTTAAGCTATCGACATTCTTGCAGGAGGAGCAGATAGACTTCTGGAGGCAGCCAGCTGACATCCTGTTAATGCATTCCAGATATATTTTGAGCACCTACTACATCCCAGGCACTGTTAGGTGCTTCACATGAGTCATCTCATTTAATTCTTATAATGAAAGGGTATTGTTATTTATTCCCATCAAGAGGATGGTGAAGCTTAGAGAGAGATTAAGTCGTTTGCCCAAGGTCATCAGGACTCGAACCCAGAACTTATGCTGTTAGCCATTCTGCCTCTTGGAACAATAGCTCGTCCTTCATCCCCTGGCCCCATATCCCTAGCAGTCCCTAGCGGGTGTGGGCCCTTCTCCCTTCCAGCCCCCCGAAGCTCTGCCTTCCCTTCCACTGGGAACTCAGGGAGAAAACAGCCCAGCTGAAAAATTAGGCCACGCTGGCGAGCACACTACTTATTTTTTTATGACTAAGATTAAGCTGACAACCATGCAAAACATTGCAAACCTGTGTCGGCTGCAGATTTAATACCTCACCCAGCCCACACAAATAATTCATGCTTCTGCATCGATGTCCAGAAAAAACAAATCAGCAAAAAGCTGGGCTCCTGCGTGTGTGTGGAGCAGCCGCGTTTCCATTGAAGCAGCATGCCGGAAATACCCAGGCTCCGGGACTGCAGATCTAGCATTTTGCAGTTTTTTTTTCTTAAAAGATTAAAGTACGTTTTCAAATGATTGAAGGTTGGTGGGAGGTGTAAATGTGGGCACTTGTCACATTAATTCTTCAGATGATTAAGTTCTTTTCCATTTCTTTAAAGCTGTTTGCAGTGGGGTTTGATGTCCCCGTTCCGGGTGAGTGTGCTGTAGCAGTTACCAAGGTGACTTTAGCTGACTTTCAACAATTTATTTTTCCCTCCAGCTTGAGACGTCTCTAGCCCTGTGTGCTGTTGATTCTTCTCTCCCAGCCTCCACCCCCACCCCCAGTTGCTATTCATCAGCGTTTTCTCCTGTGCCAGAGAGGCGGGGATCCTCTAGCAGGCCCCACACGCTCAGCGGCCCAGCCTGGCAGCCAGGCCTCAGGCGGTTCGGAATGTGGTGGGCTGTCTCCCTGAGGACCCCTTGTCAGAAGTGATTGTAAGAGTTACACCCTGGCTCTTCCACTTAAACTCACTCTGTAACCTTAGGCTTGTCACCTCACCTCTGAGCCTCAGTTTCCTCATCTGCAAAAGAATGTTTAACCATAGATGCTGCCTGGGGTGCTTGCTGTGAGGACTCAGCGAGTGCATCTATGGACTCTATACTGGGGAGCAAAGTCAGGGCCTGCCACAGGAGGGTTCTGCTCCTGTCTGGGCCCCGGGCACCCGCCAAGAGGTGGTGCTTGGTGGTGTCCTCCCCCTCGAAAGGGAGGCGTAGCAGCCGAGGTGTAAGAGAAAGAGAGCTGGTCCGAGGTCCTAGGCTTCCACGCTGGCCTGCCACAGACCAGCTCTGTGGCCTTAGACGCATTACTGGCTCTCTTTTGTAAAGGAAAGAGGTAGATTAAACAATCTCAGAGTTTCCTTCCAGTCCTGAAATTCCATGACCCTCTTGGCCATAGCGTTTGTCTCCTTCACAGGTCTTGTGAAAGGGTTTGTCAAAGGAGAAGCTAGGGCAAAGGGCGGTTTCAGAATTGGCTTTGAGAAACCAGAGGAAGGGACTGCTTTGTGAGAGAGCAGTTGCATCTGGGTGGATCCACCCAGCTGGTGGGAATGGTCCCCATTACCTCAAGGGCTTTTATAAACCACTGCCTCAGCGGAGCCCTGTGCTGCCTGATGTCACCTTCCATCCTTTTGCCTGCTGACCTCACACCCTCCCTCTGGGGAGGGGCTCTGCCTGTCGAGGTGCCTCATTGGCCACAGGCCCCAGTGCTCAGTCCCCCAGTATGTGAGGAGGTTGTGCCCCCACCGGCTGTCTGTCAAGCCCAGACATCCTAGGTGGCTCCTGCCCCTTGAATGATAAATAACTAGAGCCTCTCACCCAGTATTTTGATGGACACTTGGGGAATTGTTCTGAGATTCACAGCCCAAACCAGGATCCGGCCTTTTGAATAGGATCAGTGGGTAACCCTCATTTCCGGCTGAGGCAGATTTGAGAGGTTGTCAGTGGGGGCAGCTGAATTTGAAAGAGCAAATCTTAGATTGCAAAGGGACCCTGTGGCCCAGCTGTGGAACAAGCTGTGGGTGGGAAGCAGGACAGGAGGGAATGGGAGGCAGCAGTGACAACTCACTGTGGCCGGGGCACAGTCTAGAGGAATCTGGCACAGGGCTCCTAGGGCCTTGAAGCCCAGCAGGGTGGTGGCCTGGTTCTCCTGCCCAGCCAAGCCCACTGGTCTGAGTCCTGAGAGTCTGGTTTCCACTCCTTCAGTGAGGATTGTGTCATTTCCTGGTTAGATGAAGGATATGTATGTCACTGCAGCTCCTGGCCGTTAGTAGGGTTGTGCGTGCTCAGAGCCTGCTCTGATGTCACAGACTTTTCAGGGTCAGCTGGAAGGAAGCTCTTGGAGCCGCATCTCCTGGTACTCTTGGAGTACTAGCCTTGGAGAACTTGGAGTCTGAGGCTTCAGGGCAGGGGAAGAAGGGCTTCCAGAAGCTCCCGCCACTCTCATAGGGAAGAACAAGCCACTGTGACATAAACTTGTATATGTTGGCCAAAGATGAGGCTTTAGAACCAGACCTACCTGCAACCAAATCCCAGCTCCACATGCCCCGCCTATGCGACCTGGACAAGTTGCTCAACCTCCGTGATCCCCAGTCCTTATGTGTAAAAGGGATATAAGAATAGTGCCCACCTCAGAGGATATGAACAGATACTTTCCCAAGGAAGATATACAGATGGCCAATAGGTGCATGAAAAGATGTTCAACATCACTAATCATCAGGGAAATGCAAATCAAAACTACACTAAGGGCCGGCCCCGTGGCTTAGCAGTTAAGTGCACGCGCTCTGCTGCTGGCGGCCCAGGTTCGGATCCCGGGCGCGCACCAACGTGCCGCTTCTCCCGCCATGCTGAGGCCGTGTCCCACATACAGCAACTAGAAGGATGTGCAGCTATGACATACAACTATCTACTGGGGCTTTGAGGGGGAAAAAATAAATAAATAAAATCTTAAAAAAAAAAACTACGCTAAGATAGCACCTTATACCTGTTAGAATGGCTATAATCACCAAGAGAAAAAACAACAAGTGTTGGAGAGGCTGTGGAGAAATGGGAACCCTCATTCACTGCTGGTGGGAATGCCAACTGCTGCAGCCTCTATGAAAAACAGTATGGAGATTCCTTAAAAAATTAAAAATAGAAATACCCTATGATCCAGCTATCCCACTATTGGGAATCTATCCAACGAACCTGAAACCAACAATCCAAAGAGGCTTATGCACCCCTATGTTCATTGCAGCATTATTCACTATAACCAAGACATGGAAGCAACCCAAATGTCCCTCGTGATGATTGGATAAAGAAGATGTGATATATATATACAATGGAATACTACTCAGCTATAAAAAAAGACAAAATCGTCCCATTTGCAACAACATGGATGGACCTGGAGGGTATTATGTTAAGTGAAATAAGCCAGAGAGAGAAAGACAAACACTGCATGATTTCACTCATATGTAGAAGATAAACCAACACACGGACAGAGAGAACTGTATGGTGGTTACCAGGGGCAAGGGGGCTGGGGGGTGGTCACAAGGGGTGAAGGGATACATTTATATGGTGACTGACAAACAATAATGTACAACCAAAATTTCACAGTTATAAACTATTAAGACATCAATAAAAAAAAAAAAAGAATAGTGCCCACCTCATGGCGGCATTGTGAGGAGTAGTGTCAGTGAAGAGAGCTTTGCACAGTGGCTGGCACTTGGCAGACACAGAGTGAATGGTGGCTGTTGTTATTATTACCATCAGTCACCGTCATTGTCATTATTCAGGAACCCAGCCTGAGAAACTCTTACCTTGCTCCTCCCTGCAGTCTTTACCTTGTGCTGAACCTGTTCCTGTGCTTGCTTCGCAGGAGCCGCAAAGACAGCCTAGAAAGCGACAGCTCCACGGCCATTATTCCCCATGAGCTGATCCGCACCCGGCAACTCGAGAGTGTCCATCTGAAATTCAACCAAGAGTCAGGAGCCCTTATTCCTCTCTGCCTAAGGTGAGCCCCACATCACACATCTTGGCCTCAAGGAGCCCCCAGGCCTGTACTTGCCATCTCCCCCACACCTAGTGGAGTCTGGGGCCTAGTCAGGCAGCTCCATCTTGGGCCTGTGGGGGAGCCTCTTCTTTGTCCAGAGAAGTGTCCCTCAGTCCTGCTCCCTTAGGAAGGTTCAATGACCTAGGAGTCTTGGATGCCCCTGCCATCCCATGAGCCCAGAGTCAGGGGTGGCAGGGTCCCCAGTAGCACTGGGGTAGCAGGGCAGGGGTTCTGGTGGGCTGGGTTCTATTTTCTCCTGCTTGCTGCTTTTCCCATGCAAAACACTCAGTTCTCGAAATCCAGTGGCCAGGCCAGCAGACTCCTTAAGGGACCTGGAAGCCCAGCCTTGTCCCTTCAGCTGCTGTCCACAGTGCCAGAAACCCAGCCCTGTGGCCAGGATTCAGCCCTCTGCTTGGGGATGCTGCAAAGGGCTGAATCTGTTGCAGCTGGCTTCCTCCACGGCCCTCAGGGTTTCCACCAGCACTTTTATAGTAGGAAAGGCAACAAGAAGAACTCAACTCAGACATCAGTGACAAGGAAGAAAGGAGTTACCCTGGTTTGGACCCTCCCCACAGTCCCCAGAGCCTGGGGAAGGAGCTTGAATGCTAACCAGCCTTGGCCAGCCACCCTGGGCAACAGGGCGAAGACAACAATGGTCAGAATGAATAGGGGCTGGCAGGGCACCCCCACCAGGACCCCAGCCATTTCCTCCCAGCTCCCTCTCTGGCCCAGGCTCAGGGCCTTTAGTCTGGTGAAGGGTTAATCTGAGGCAGCCTGAGAAAGCAGAGAACAGGTTTCGCTTCCTTTGCTGACTGGCATCTCTGCCCCACTGGTTGCCCCTGCCTGCCCTTCTCCCAGGTGTATTTCCAGACTGGGGATTAACAGTAACTTCTTGTGGCTGCCTCAGAGTGACCCCACTTGGCTTCAGCCTTTTTTTTTTTTTTTTTTTAAGGTGTGCTCCTGGCCTTGGAGCCAGCCATTTAAATCTTGTGGGAGGGCCCAGGAGCAGGTGGAAGATTCTGCCCTGGACACGGGTTGTGCTGTGAAGGCACTACGCTATCATCCAGGGGAAGGGAAATTTGTTTAGGTACAACTTCACGCCCACCCTCCAGACAAAGGGGGACATGACCTCCCTTTTAGTTCTGGGCATGACCTTGGGGCACATTGCTAACTGCCTCTCTGGCCTCAGTTTCCTCACCAGGACATGAAGGAGGTGGATTCACTACCCCTGCAGGCGCTTTGAATGCTGATCTAGTGTCTCTGCTAGCTTTGAGCACTTCAGGCGAATGACAGTAGAGAACTTGGAAGGTGTTGAAGCGAACATGCTTGGTTATGGTCGCCTGTGAGTGGGCATGTGGTTAGGTGGTTAGTGGTTAGGAGGGCATTTGCCAGGCACCTTGTCCCAGGGAGCATAGCCCCCACAGACCCTGAGCCTTGGCTAGGCCTGCTGTTCACTGTCTCCGTGTTCCCATCCCCAGGGGCAGGCTCCTGCATGGACGGCACTTTACATATAAAAGTATCACAGGTGACATGGCCATCACATTCGTCTCCACGGGAGTGGAAGGCGCCTTTGCCACTGAGGAGCACCCTTACGCAGCTCATGGACCCTGGTTACAAGTGAGAAGGCTCTTTTTCTTCTCCCTACCTCCCTTCCTTGGGCTCGTCCCGTCCTTGCCCCCTCCATCTCCTTTGGCAGCTCCCTTCCTGAGGGGCTGGTTGTGAGATGCCATGTGGAGTATGGATGCTGCTGCCTATCCCACCAGCTCAGGAGCATTTTCTGGCCTCTCCGCCTATCACCTGAGACACAAGTGATTACTCCCAGGCCCTGACCATTGGTAGATCTGTTTGCCATGGAAATCCAGGTTTGAGAGAGCTGAGACTTTTCTGCACTCTGGGTACCCTGGATAAACCAAGGTACAGGAAACCGAGGGTGAAACGGGATGGGAGGAAGTGTGGACGCCTCTCTCTAGTGGCTATATGGAAATCCCACCAGAATTCCTAGAAAGTGGGCATCTGGACCTGGACCTGGGGCTGGGATGGGCAGGCCTCAGCAGACAGAGCCTCCCCTTCTCCCCTTGTCTAACGGCTCTTCTGTTCCTCCTGATGGAAGCCCAGCTTCTCTGCACAGAAACCTGCTGGCTTGTCCAGAACACTTTGTCCCTCCTTTGCTCTTCTGGCTGGAGCACAGCTTCCGAGCCACTGCCAAGCGGGGTGCTGGGGGTGCTGAAAGCCATAGGCCTCCTTCCAGCCCTCACCCTGTCCCAGGTCTCTAATGGCTGCTCGACGTGGTCCAGCATACTCCCAGATGTATTAGAGGAACAACATCCTTTCTTGTTTCTTGGGGGTGTGGGAGGAGGAACTCTCCACCTTACCTCTCTCAGGAGTATCCAGAAATGGAATCTGACCCTAGTCCAAAAGGTGACCCTGCCTTGTTTGTGGTGTATGGGAGCAGGGGGGATTATAGTAGAGGGGAAGAGAATTATGCTGGTTTTGTGGGCTTAACCCGGTCTGGGGGGTCTGTGAAGCACGTATACTGTTAACATGGGCATGCTTTTTGTGTGTGTGTGCCGGCTTGCAGCCGAATTTCTCCTCCTTCAGGCCAGCTCCCTCCTACCCCCCCCACCAAAATACTAACCCTTAATTAAAACAAACAGCAAACAAAGGACACCAACCACACTCCCCAGAATAAGCCAAGGTCAAAATGGAAGCTGGTGCTTTAGGGATATTGTGTTCCATAAATTATCTTGCCTTTTCCACTGTTGGTATTACATTGTTTCATAACAAAATTACTTTGAACCATAAAGTTATAAATACATTTTAAAAGTCCTACTTGGTAACATTAGATTTCTGTCCATGTGGTGTTGGTAGTTACTGTAGCAAAAGCGCTGAAGTGTAACATTTGAAATTAGCCCAGCAGAAGTGGAAAGGGCCTTTCCCCACCCCCAGCCGTACCCCAGGCCGCCAGGCTGCCTCTGTGGAGAGAGGGAAGGGAGTAGGCCTCTTGCCTGGGCAGAGCTGATAAGGAGCAGGGAGGTGGGGACAGTACAGGAGACCCCAGCCCCTAAGAGGTCACAGGTCATCATTCCAAGTAGGCAACAGTGTACCAGCAGGTCTCAGCAGAAGTGTCCTCAGATAGCTATTTGTGTGTATTGAAGGTTCAAGCACATTTTCTTGAGCAAGTTGGGATTGGGGTCGCCCCAAACTCAAGAAGAAATTCCACCCAGTTACCTTTCACGTGCTCAACTCTGAACCTGTCCTTGGAGTCCTGCCATCTCCATCTTCCTACCCTGAGGAGGGGTTGGTTAGCATCTCCAATTCTCAGCAGCCAGGGGACCTTGGCCCCCAGAGGAATCAGCAGATATCATGTTGCCCCTTAGGCCCCCCAGAGTTCTGGACTCAACCCCAGTTCCCAAGCCCCTTATACCCTGCTGATGTTCCGCTCCTGCTCCACTCCCGCTCGCCTCCCTGGCAGCCCCTCAGTGAGCTTGAGCACTGGGCAGCACTGCGGACGCCCAGCACATGGTCCCCTCCGGTGCGCTGTTGCCCTGGGAACCGGGAGCGGTGGGAACCAGCTGCTGGCCTCGGCATGTTTCAGTAAAGTTGCTGTGCTGGGAGCTGCTTAATCAAAGGCCTGTGTTATGGGCTCATTAGTGTGGTCCACCACACGGGCCAGCTTACAGGGTAGCTCCCAGGAAGGTTGGCTGGGGCCCCACTCCCCAAGCACGCACCCTCACTCACTAAGGGGTTTCTCAGGCCCTTTCCAAGGAGCCCTGGGAAACCCTCTGCCCCTGCCCCCAGCCCAGCCAGTCCTCAGCTGTGGAGCCAATACCCACACCAGCCCTCCTCCCCGCCCCCAAAGCAGTCAGTGTTTTCTGCATCTGACTGCCAGCCTGCCTTCCCCTTTAGGGTCTTGCCACTGTGGTCACAGGCAGCTCCCTAGCTTGTGGGAACCTGGGCTTGTAATTACTTGTGGACCTCTGTGTCTCCCTCTGGGGCTGGCTGTCTCTCTGGGAGTCTGCAGGACCTCCTGGAGGCCTAGGGTTAGGCTCATAGTCACCAGTGAGCCCCAGGCCCCTCTCGAGGGAGATCCCAACACAGAGAGGCCTGCCTTCACCCCTGTAGGACTCTCTTGCTCTTACTCCCAGGATCGGAGATGTCTCCTTGGCCCCTGTGTGCCCAGGCCTGTTGGGGGCAGAGGAACAGGAAGTTGCTGAATGCAGCAGACCTAGGACTTGAAGAGACCCAGACTTCTGTTCTCTTAGCTACTGATTGAGCATTCCCCATTGGTCCCAGCTAAATTGGGAGGAACTGGGATGACTTTCTTGCGTGAGCCTTCAACAGCCTTGGAAGCCCTCACTCCCAGCCTTGGCACCTTGTTCTGGCTACCAACCCAGGCCTCTTACCTCTTGGGGAAAAGGCATGGCAAAGACACCCCACATGGAGGAAGAGTGACAAAGGAGAGGCTGAGAGAAAAAGGCAGGTGAGGGAATCGGCCCTTTCCGGAGCTTGTGGGGTGGCCCCAGACAGGCCTCCACACCTACCTACTCCTGGGCCTGTACCTGCCCTCCAAGCACCCCGTCCTCATCTCTCCAGCTCGAGGAACATCAAGGCCCCAGCATACAGAAAAGCAGGGCCATCTGCAATCCCAGGGTGAGTGCAGTGGCCACTTCCTGCTTCCTGGAGGAGCAGGAGAAGCAGGAATCCTGCTCCAATTCCACAGGCTTTTCAGTTTCCAGAGGTCGACACCTTGACTCCATCTGCCCTACCATTTGTTGTTTTCATCCTGGTTGAGATGGTAAAGCCTGTCAGCCAACTTCAGAGCTTTGCAGGAGCATCTTTAGACCCTGAGGGAGGCCTGCCAGCATCCTCTCCTGCACACCTTCCCCCAGCATTCCTCATCCCAGTGGCTTCAGCAAGCCTCTCTCTCTTCAGTTTGTCAACACCGGGCTGTTAGTCCTCTGAGCGGGAGCCCAGCCCAGAGATGAGTCGTTCATCCATCCCCAGCCAGGGTTGATCTGAAGGGGGAGAATTCGGCCCCAGAGGTCACATAGGGGTCACGTCACCAAATATGAGAATATTTTTTTAAGCCCTGCAGTGCTTTCTCAGCTGTGTGGTGTCTGACAGCTCACCCAGGTGGCGCCCCCATTCCTGGCCATTCCCCACCAGCCCTGATGGGAGGCCCCAGGCTTGGGAGAAGACACCCAGCAGCTGTTCCGAGTGGGCTCCACTGCTCCAGGCCAGGCTGGGGGAATAACTGCTGGGCTCTCCTCCTAGCCCAGTGGCTGACTCACCACTATCCTCTGGACAAGCCCCGCCATCTCCTGTCCCCAACCACCCATTTGGACATTGTGTGGAAGACGCTTGGCGATCCCTGGCCCAGGCCCTGGGTGGCTCCTCTTTGATGCCTCTACTTTTTCTCCTTCCACTGGTGAACCTGGCCACAGCCTGTTCTCCCTGGAGACCTTTGCTTGAGCTGTCACGGGGACCTCATTGTCCAGGGATACACCCATTAAGGTTTAAGTCCCAGCACTGTACCCAGGGAAGTACAGCACCCTGCCTTTCAGGAGAGGACTGTGATGGCCTGCTGTGCCCTCACCAGCCAACAGCCAGAGCAGGAGGAGTCTGAGCCTGCTCCTGGCCACCAAGGCCAACTTCTCAACACTCACCGAGAACAGGAATGAGTGAGGCCTCACTCTGCCATCACTGCAGCCATACCTGCCACACACGCCTCTGCCCCCAAGCCTGGCGGGTCTCTGGGCTGTTTTCTGGCTTTTGTCGGGGTGGGACGCAGACTGGACTGCTTCCTCGTCCCTGCCTCCTCCGCTGTCATTGTGGGTGCCAGAGCAGCTCCTTGGCAGGCCCTACCCTGTAAACAACACATTTCCTTCCCTGAGAGAAGGAAAGGGAGGGAAAAAGAAAGCCAAACTTGTTGGGAAGCAAGAACACCGTGTCAACAGGAAGAGCAAACAAGGTCCCAGACAAAGTGTGGATTGTCACACCAAGGGGAAGGGGTGGGCATTGTCAGCGCTGTTTGCAGACTCAGAAATATCGTTGACCACAGACATTTGAATCCGATCTGCAGCAGCTGCACTCCTGCCTGCAGCACAGCCGGGCCTGCCCAGGACAGGCACTGACAAAACATCACTTTTTGGGTTCCTTCTGGAACTTGCTGGGGCCTGGGGAATTGGGAGATTGTTGACAATCCTCCCTTGTCACCAACTAGCCAGGCTGTCCTAAGGTACCAGTTGTGAGCACCTTGGAGTAAGCTGCTGGCCTAGATTCCTAGCCCCCTCCCTGACCCAAGGTGGGGGTTGGGGGTGGGGGCAGGGAGCCACTGTTCCCCTCACAGCTTGGCCAATTAGATGGCGGGGGAGCTGCAGCCATCTTGGTTCAGCTTATGTGCAAAACCCCTTCCCCTGTGAGCCTCAGTATTTCCCAGCACTCCCCCCACCATGATTTCTTGGGGTGCCCTTTAAAAATGCAGATGCCTTGGCTTTGCCTGGGATGTTGTGCCTCAGAAGGTCTAGATTCAGAAGATCTGGATAGGTCCTAGCATCTTCATATTTTCAAAAGCTTCCCAGGGGAGTTTGCTGCTCAGATTGGTTGGGGGGCTTTCCCCTCTCACTAGAGAGTCTCCTCTCTCCAAGGACTGTTTGTGCACAAATGTAAGCGTTTTATGCCCGGCTCTTGGTGAGTGCAACGTCAATGAGTGCTATTATCATTTTTATTGTTATTATTATTTCCACAACTGTTTTCAGGGCTAGAGTAACTGTTGCCTTATGTATGCATTCATCAAGCTGGCCTGGAAATTTCCCCCACTATTCCCCCTTGAAAACCATCTTTGGGCATGGTTTGCCTTCCTTTCCAGGTGGCCAACCTGGTTTTTGAGCAGTTGTGTGTCTCTGACACTCAGGGTTCCAGCCCCTTGAGTGGAGCAGGTGGCCGAGAGATGTGTGGCTGGTTGGGGTTGGGACTGCTGGTTTTCTAGGCCATTGGTCAAAGGCAAAGTCACCTTCACCTACCCCATCAGAGGAGAGAGAGGACTCAGCACTGAGTACACAAGGCTTCTAGAATCAGAGTACTTTCCTCAGACAGGAAAAGAGCATCCTCTACCACCATGAGGTCAGATCACTGCTCTTCTAAAGTTGAGGAGACTTGCCTCCTCTTGACACCTTCTCCTCTGCAAAATGGAGATGCTAGTTAACTCCCTCTCAGGACCACCATAAGGATTCAGTGAAATGATACTGTCAAGCACTTATGCCTGGCACATGGACACAGCATTGCTCCTACTATTGGTGGTGTTATCATTACTGCTGTCATTGTCATAACCATTTCTGTTATTATTTGTGGCAGAGCCAGGCAGCTCCATAGGGACTCAGCGAGCTTCAAGAGCCTCAAGCCCCAGAATTGCACAGGCTTTTCCCACACTTGCATCACAACGGCGAGTCTGTTACTTGTGAGAGCACCCAGGAGCCGCTCCATCATAGCTGTCTATCTCCAGTGTCCTGTTGATAAGATCTGTTAACATTCTCAGTTCCAGGTCTGAAATATACAAAGAACAGGGCCTGTTTGTTCAGTCCAAGCTTCTAAGGTTTAACTCTCAAAGGAAATTAAATTAGGTGCCTGGAGCTATGACAGTCTGTCGTGTTTCTTTGCAGGATACGTCACCCTTAATATCATGCAGATCTCATGTATAATTTTCCCTGTTTAATTCTTTTAAAATAATGTGAAGTTTCCAGCAGGAACCAGGAAATCACCAAAAGTGAAAATTGAGGGGCGACTAGGGTTTGTCCCCTTTTGTGATCTTGCCATCCCCTCCCCTAGCTGAGTATAAAATGAGTCCATACACAGATGGTACACACTTGGTAATTACTCTACTAAAAGCCGCCATAACTCACCCTCTCTCTACCACTAATTCCAGACCTTTGTCAGAGGAACTGGCTTAGGACTGAATTCCGTGTTGGTGGGGTTACCTTTCCCATTGTTGAGACACAGCTCTCTCAAGTCTCACTGGGTGGCCACAGCTCCTGTGAACCCTCCCCCCGCCCCAGCACTAGTTACAGCCCCAGACCTATTTACCTCTCTGGCAGAAAATCCCTCCTTCAAATTATTTGTGGGTTAGAAATCAGCCTGGCCTGGCCCGGACTGGAGCCATTGTAATATAATTGGGTTTTAGGTATGCTCTTGTTTGTGCTAGCATTTGCAGAGATGGCAACAAGCCCTAGAAATGCCAAAAATATGAATGTGACTTTTATACTACTCAAGCAGACTGGTGATAACTGGTAGAGAAACTCTGGACTTTTTGGGGGGGAAAACCCCTGGGATAAGAGGAAGAGGAGCAAGGGCTCAGGCTGTGGGAGGATCAGGGTGACTGGGAAAGGGCCACTGCAGTCTGGGAGAGGAGTCAGCCAGCCCCTCCTGGGGGAACGTGGAGGAAGAACGGGGCTGGGAAGCGGCACCTTAGGTGGCATCTCCGTGTACCGACTTTGCCTGTCTAAACCTTGTCTCTGTCCTCACTTGAGGCCTGAGCTCCTCAAACAGAAACTTTGGTGTGGAGATCCGGGCCAGTGGTCAGAGCTGTTTTGTTCCTGATGTGGGGTTGCAGCCTGGGAAGGAGACATCCTTGGCTCCCTGTCAAGCAAGGGAGGGTGCATGTCCAGGTGGGAATGGACTGCCTTCCTGCCTGTGTCCCTGGGGCTCCACCCAGGGCCTGGCCTAGCAGAGGCTCCCAGGGAATGCTGTGGAAGTGAATAGATTGATGGGCAGATGAATGGAAGAATGAATAAATGAGTAAATGTCATGTGAGTAAGAATTCAGGGTTTGGAAGCAATACTTCAGGCACTAACTTTAGAGTCCAGACATGACCAGGAGTATGGTCTTGTCTCAGCCGCTCACAAGCTTTGTTACATTGAGCAAATTACATAACCTCTCTGTGCCTCAGTTTCCTCATCTGTAAGGAGACTGAAGGAGATAAGATATAAGAGCAGTTATCACAGTGCCTGGCATGGTGGTGGTTTGTCGGCTCACCTGGGTGGTTTTCTCATTCCTTGCCCCCACCTCCACCCCATCAACTTCCTTCCTTTGGAGTCTTCCATCCTGTGAGGTCCCTAGTAACCCTGCTTGCTCTTCTCTGCCATTTCACTTCATCTCACAAGCTGATTATTTCCAAATGTTGAAACTTTTGGACAACATTTGGGATATAGTCAGCTTGTGAGATGAACAGATAGAGTGGACAACTCCCAGGGTATTTTCTCAAGTTCTTGATCCCCATCCTTCTCATAGGGGGGTCTTCCTCAGAGGAGCCCCTCACCTTGGTCTTCACCCCATTGTCTTTCGTCCTCTGTGCCCCACCCAGGGCATTCAAAGTCTGCTGGAGGAGGCAAAGCAGAGGCAGGTAGAGCCAGGGGTTCAGAAGGCTCTAGTGCAGAGGGCAGAAGGCCCCATGGACCAGCACAGGGAGAAGAGGGGTAGAGGAAGGGGTCAGACTGGGAAAAGGAACGACATCCTCAGCCTGGGCCCAGCATGGTACAGGCCTGGGGTGAGCTTGGCCTGGCTCTGCAGAGCCAGCCTGAGCAGAGGAGCCTGTTGGGAAACCAGGCCATCAGATTGAGGAAGGCTTGAGTGCCCTTGGACATTCCCATTAGCTGTGAAAACTTCTTTAGGGGCTAAGGGCGGTGGTTGTGCCAGCCGAATAGCGGAGCCAGGCTGTCCCAGACATCAAAGCATAAAGTGACAAGGCATCGGACTAGAGCAGCAAAGTGGGACAGCTGGGAGGTGACCTGGAGAAGAGTTTTCTCAAAGGAAGTTTTGAAGAACTCAGTGGCTGAATGGGGCCTACAGGGCAGGGGTTTGGGAGCTTCCGGCCTGAGAGAATGTGGATGCCTTGATGGAAATGGGAGTCGAGATTCCCTTTCCCATCTGTAAAATGAGAGAGCTTGGTGCACAGTCTCCAAATTCTCCAACTCAGACATTCTTGGATGTACCTTCCAGGGCATTTCCAGATTCCAGACAAGGCTTGTGTTCCAAATCCAAACAGATTCCTTTTGTCCTATCAAGTCGGGGTGGGGGGGGTGACATATGAGCCTGGTTGGGCACGGAGGATGTTGGCAGTTGCTCTTCTCTGCCCCTCGGTTTTTCTGTTTCCCCTCTGCCGCACTGCAACATGCAGGAGGCCCGAACAGCCAAAATAGGGTAAATTCCCACGCATTTCCATGTCCCTTCTGTGACCCACACTTCCATCCCACCAGATGTCCCCATGCTTCCCCATTGTCCTCTGATGCCCTTCCTTCTCTTAGTCCCTCTGATAGAATTGCAGGCAGGGGGTGGGGGGTGACCATCGGGGATAGGCCTCAGGCACTTCCCTCTGTCCCTAGAACAGATCACTGTGGCTCCTATCTCCTCCATGGCCAGAAGAAAGGTCCATAGCTTGGCAGTTGGCAAAAAGACCATATATTAAAAAAAATAAAAGCCTGTCTTGTGTCTTCTTCCCAGATTCTGTTGACCGGAGAGTTTGTAGAGAAAATGTTGGAGGACTTAGAAGATTTGACTTCTCCAGAGGAAGTAAGCCTGTTTGATTCTCTCTGATAGTGGGTTCCAGTTTCCAGGAGCGTGTGTGTGTGCGTGTGTGTGTGCATGTGAGCCTCTGTGTGTGTGTGTGTGTGTGGTGTGGGGATAGGCTGGAAAGGAGACCCTGGAGATGTTAAATATCTTTATTTCTGTCTTCCCACCACCCCCTGCCCCACCCCCAGCCCTCGTAAGGACACCCAGCAAATTGTCTGAATTGCCGGCTCCTGAGAACCTCATTGAAGAGGCAGCCAGGGCCTTCAGGCTAGTACGAGTTCTCCCCAGCCCCTGCTGTTCCCTGGCAGGTTCTGAACAGAAAGCCCACGCCTGCTGCCAGAGAACATTCCACTGGGGAGTTCTGGTGGGCAGTGAGGGACTCCTGCTCTCGCCTCAGGCCACCCAGGAGCCACTCTCCTTCCTCCCTTCCCCAACCATAAGCTCTCCCCTCTTGGTCTGCCTCTTCCAGCCCTAGCCCAGAGCCCAAGGAGCTGGCAGGCCAGGTGGGGGCTTGTGCCTTCCCTGGCTACTCCTCTGGGGTACAGGAATGGAGCCCATAATCCCCTTTGTTTTTCTTCCTTGTTCCCGGCATCCTCATTTGTGGGGACTTACCTCATCCTGGAAAGTCCCTTCCCCTCCCCCGGCCTCCTACTAAGCAGCACCCCAGCAGGATCTGAGCCTTCCTGGCCCCAATGCCTGATAGGTTAGTGGAACATTAGCAAGCTGGCCTGGCCTCTAGAAAGCTCTTCTGGGCCCTCCTCTGCCTATGGCAGAGACAGACCCTTCTCTCGCCCTGTCTGCCGGGAAGTGTGTTTGTGGGAGAGCTTCTTTACCTCCCAGGGGCCAGGCTTTCAAGCCACAGGGAGGCCAGGCAGCAGCTAGCTTTCAGCCAGCACTGGAACTTCCAGCTGCAAGGGTTCCCAAGGCCGAGTCAGCCAGGACACGGTGGCCTCTGACGTCCACAGGGTAGAGGAGAGTGCAGAGGGTGGGACTGTCCTGTCCAGGTCTCCAGGAACTCCTCAGAGCCTGAAGTCACCCCTAATAGGATAGTGTCTTCTCTGTCCTCTGGGATGCAGCTTGGTAAATTAACTCATTTATACATTCAGAATCACCAAGCACCCAATCTGTGCCAGCCAATCAACCCCCACAGATCACTGGTCCCTGAGGCCTGGCTCCCATTCAGTTAGACCGGAGCCAGCTGCCCAGAAGCACTTCCAGAGAGGCCATGTTGCACTGGAATGGCACTGTGCCAGACTGCTGCTTTGAGCTTGGGTGTTGAGGGGATGGGAGGGGGACAGTCCAGGCAGGAGGGACAAGAGCCAGGGGCCACTTAGGAAAGTAGGTCACTAAAAATGAGGGGATTTTTTTGCTTTCCTGTCCAGAGGCTGTCCCCACACCCTGCCCCATTCTCTACTTTGGTCCTGGCTTGGACACTCCCCCATCAGAGGGAGAGAGACAGAGCCAGCCAGGAAGTGTCAGGCCTATCCACTTCCCGCCCCAGCTCTAGGCAGGCAGAGGGCTCTGTTCTTCCTCCTTTCCAGCCTGGCCTGACTTCTCTTTGAGCCCCAGGACAGTGAGAGTCATAAAAAGCAGACCCTGTTTCCAAGTCAGTGAGCATCTATTGAGCACCAGCTGTGTGCCAGACCACATGCAAGGTCCTAGAATACAGAGGGAATAAGATATCTTCCCCTATCCCCTCGAGAAGCTTGAGAAACAAAACTGTAAGCAAGTCAGTGATTCCCCTGGTGGGGCAGGAAGGCCTTGGGGTCTCCTTGGCCACCACTGGGACTACTAACCCTGGGAAGCAGATGAGAATGAACAAGGGGGAGCAGCATGGGAGTTTGTGCCTCCCAAGGATGCACCAAGCCCAAGAAATCACCTCCAGCCACACTCTCTGCTCCTCCACCCCCCACTGAGGCCGAGCCTTTGCAAAGGCTACAGAGGGCAGGTTCCAGGGTCCTTCCTCACCAGCCTCTGAAAGAGAAGCCATGGTGGGGACAGGACCGCAGAGTTCCAGACCTCTAGCCACTTCCCTGTAGCATCTGCACCCTCCCCCTGCCCCCCATCCTCCAGCCCCAGGGCCTCAGGGAGCAGATTCCTGACATGCTTGTGGCTGGAGGCAGAACCAAGGAAGTGAGCTGGAGGGAGGTCAGCACAGTCAAGAAAGAGTTAGAAAACAGGCCTCTTCCAACCCTGGTTAATTATTGGCAGGGCAAGGGGACAAAAGGGGTCATCAAACTCCAGCCACTTGACCCCAGCCATCCACCTGGGTCTAGCATTTGAGATTGAAGCCAGGCAACCAGGGGCCTGTCTTGCCCCCAGTACCCAGGGGATAGGGCCTGGGTGAGGATCCTGACCTCTCTCTAGGCAATCCGGGAAGAAGGCGGTGGGTCCTGCTAACTGCCCTCTGGCTCTGTGCTTGCTCTCTCCACAGTTCAAACTTCCCAAAGAGTACAGCTGGCCTGAAAAGAAGCTGAAAGTCTCCATCCTACCCGACGTAGTGTTCGACAGTCCTCTGCACTAGCCTGGGTGGGCCCTGCAGGGGCCAAGGGAGAGCCCAGCTGCTCCCCGGTGACTTCCAATGAAACAACTGCGTGCGAGAGATTCCCACAAATGAAAGGACAGTGTGAGGATGACTGCGCAGCCACCGCACCCACAGCCGGTGGGACGCCGTGCACAGGCCACAGGCCACACCTCACCTGCAGCTCAGGGGCCTCACCTCTCAGCCGGCCAAGCCCATGTGACCAGGCCCTGGCCCCACGAGGCCGTGAGCCGGCAAAGGCAAACCTTCCCCTCCTGCTGCTGCCACAGGTTCTGGTTTGAGATTTGCCTCTGGAACTTTGCTGTGCCCTTAGGTGGACAAAGGCCTCATTCCCTGCTACGCCTCACCACACAGCACAGCCGAAGGGAGATGGAGTGGCCGTGTGGGGGCACTGCCCAGCTCAACTCTGGGAAGCCTTTGGTATTCAAGCTTCTCTGGCCTCAGAACAATTTCTCTGATCATGTTTGGTTTTCTTCCTCCTCATTTTATTTTGTAGAAACCGATGGTATTTTATTGTTCTTCAAAGATGTCCAGAAGCCGTGTATATAATGTTTTTTAAACAACTTTATTCCCAGATGAACTTTCTCATTGTCTCAGACAGGGGCCGGGGGCCATCTCCCCCTGAGCCGCCACGAGAGAAGGTGCCGGTGTTCGCCCGCCAGCCCTGGCACAAGGAACCAGCTGCACAGAGAGGCTTTTCTTCCTGGCTGGGCCTAGGGGAGCCTGGGCAGGGCGAAAGCTGAGACACTCCCCCAGGCAGCCTTGAGCCCAGTTTAGCTGGGGCCAGGAAAGGGTGCTGCTGGTTCCCAAGTGGACTGGGCCCTCACAAAGTTCAGGGACCATCAGGCTCTCGGAGACTTGAGGCCCCAGCCTCATCTTCCAGGCCTTTTCCACCCAACCAGCCCTGCCTGGGAGAGGGTGAGGCCCGGCACCTCACAGACCATCCCCACCTGCCACTCAGGGCCTGGGGCTCCAGCTCTATGACCACTCCTGGCCCATGTCGTCATCCCTTGGGCCTCCCAGCCTCCAGGCTGCAGGACTCTGGCTTATTAAAAACGGAAAAATCAACCTCTCAACATGTCTTTCACTTTGATTTTGCAGACACGGCACTCTGCCACCCCCCCATCCTCCCTGCATCCATTCGTTTCTCATCTTTCATTCCCCATTCCTTGACCTGTCTCCTTTCCTGCATCCTGGCTTCTCGTGGTCCTTGGTCCCTCGCCCCAATACTGCAGATCTCATGGTCTTCCTCCCAGAAGCCAACCTATTGCTGGCCTATGGTTTGGGGGTCCTCTTGGGTTATCTCCCCCTTCTGACCTGGAACCCACAAGCCCCTTCCATGCCCTTTTACCCCAGATTCTAGGGACCACTATTTCAAGTTCACCATTCAGGCCTTTCCAAAGCAAAGTCCTTTTGTCTGTCAGGGACCACACAAGACCATGCACTGCCCCTGCCTGCACCCACCACACACGGCCACCACAAGGAGTGCCACAGAAGATCCGGATCTGATGAGAGATCCAGCCAAAGAGCTGCCTCCAGAGGCCATGAGGGCAGTGGCTGGGCTCTCCAGGGAGCAGGATTTGAATTTTCAAGGGGCTACCAGGGCCTGGTTCCTTCTCTGCACACACTTCAGGGCTACCTGGTTAACTCCATCAAACTCAGAGCTTCAAGGCAGATCAGTCTGCAGTATTGGAAGAGATGGGCTCCAGACCCCCACCAGTGAAGACGGAAGCCCCTCTGGACCTGATGTTGGCAGCAGCTGTGCCTTCTGCTCCGAGGACTTTTCCAAAAGGACATTTCCTGGCCTTTGCCCACCACGGCATCCCTGCCTTTGAAGCTCTTGGCTTCTGACATTTCATGGCCAGAGAGGTGCCACCAGCTTGCCTCCTTTCCTTGGCACCCTGACTTGCCTCTCCACAAATGCTCTTTCTGGGGACCTGCCTCCACCTGCCTGGTTTGGCTGGTGGGAAGGAGGGTATTTTCTGAGCTAAGCTTTGTCATCAGTATGGGAGGCAGGAGGGAAGCAGGTGAGCTCTGAGATGATGAGCCCGTGAAGGCTGTGGCCCCTTCCTGCCCCACCATGTCAGGAACCTCCAAGGTCCGGCTAGGGCCAGGCCTCCATTTCCTTTCCCTACAGTGCATTGGCTCTGGGGGAGTGGCAGCACATCCGCCATCTCTGACCAGACCTCCTTTCCCTTGGGCAGAGGTGCCTTCTGGAGGTTTCTTGGGGAGAGAACTCTCCATTGAGCTTCTGGCTGGTGAGAGGGGACCCTCACTGAGGCTCAAGCGAGACTGATCGTGTAGCAGGCCCAGCACAGCACCTGGCATATGGGAGTGCTCACTAAATGTACCCCTCCCTTCCCTCCCTGAAGCTTTTTGGGAGCCCTGACCTCATAGTGATCTGGGGAGGTAAGAGGCCTCCCTCTCTAAATCTGCCTCTTCCATAGGCTTCTTTGAGGCTTGCTCAGTCCTACCCTCTCCCTCCAGGTCCCCATGGCTAAAGCTTCTGAGAGGAAGGGGCTTCCCCGTGCTGTTTGCCTGCTACATAAGGCAGACTCCTGTGGCTCCTCACATTCAGTGTGGGCTGCAAGAGGACCACAGACCCAGCTGTCATTCAGAGGGGAAGAGGCTCATGTAAGGTCTCAGGTCTGGCCGGGAGCTGGTGCCTCTTCCTGCCCTTCTCTTCCTCTTCCAAAGGCAAGGCTTCAGGGCAGGGACTTGGAAGCCTTAGGGAGAGTCTAAAGGGCTAGGGCATTTTTAAAAATAAACACAGGATCTTGGGACTGGGTTTTGAGACTGAGTTGAGAGCAGGGAAAAAACCTGAAGGTCAGTGCCCCTATGGGGCAGACCAGTAGAGAATTCCCTTGACTGTATTTTTTTTATCTGGTTGTCTTTCCTCTCTGGCTTCCAGGTCCTCCATGCCAGGTGAGGTACCTGGGTCCCTGTTACAAGTTAGGAGCCCTGTGGAGAGAGGCCTCCTTTTGTACAAGTACCTGAATGCTGCAATGAGCAGACTTTTGTAAAATTTTATATTAGTTTCTAATGTCAATGGCGACTCAGTTCCTGGGGGCTGCAGCCAGCCTGGGACTTTTGTAAGAATTTTTGGGTGACTCACTTAGATGTCGTTTCCTTCTTGCTCCCTTTTCCTCTGTGTAATCTAAGTGCATTAAACATATTTGCAGAAGTGCCTGTGTCTTGTGCTCCTTTCTGGCTGCCTGGAGTAAAGGAGTGGAAAGCCTGGGGCCCTGGCAGAGGGGGTGGGTTGGACTCGGCCGCTTAGAAGAAGCCAGCATGGGGAAAGGCCCCAAGACTGTGTAGGAGTGGAGGGGGTGTCAAGGAGCAGGATCACACAGCTGGTGACTCTTCAGTCATGCAGAAATGACTTTGCAGGGACGGGCTCTCTCTCACTGGTCTTGAATTCTTCTAAGGTCAAGCGGGTAGGAGTGTGGAACACAGTCTAGGGAGAGGAACGGGTGGGTAAGATCCTCTCTGCCACTTCACTCCTCTTCTACCCTCCTCTAACCAAAACTTGGGAAAGTGGGCCTTCCTCACCTCCAGTTTGGAGTCCTTGTATCCCCTTCCAGCTAGGGCCAAGAGACAGCCACTCCCTTCACCAGGCATCTAAATTCAACCTCCTAATCCAGGGCCAGGGGGCAGGGTGGAGGGGCAGCCACAGAACCCTCACACCCACTGGGTGACACAGAAGACAGCCCACCCTTCCTGTCAACTCTTTTGGTCCTAGTCTGGTGAGGAGGCAGGTGGATTTTCTTCCCTGGATTGCCCAGCTCCTGACTCTCCAGGGCCTGATGGGGCAAAACAGAGCCTAATACCTGTGGGGAGAGGAGGCAACAACGGCCTTAGAGGCAGGCAGGAGAGATTTACACCCAGACAGGGTTCCCAGAACCTGCAGGACTGCTCTCAGCCCTCATGCATTCTTTCCCTTCCTGCTAGGCCTGGTTGTCTGTCCTGGAGAGTGGCAGGGCCTTTTCTCCTGGTCCTCAGGATGGAGCTGTAGCACCCAAGGTGTTCTGCTAGGGCTGATGGCAGAGGTCTTGGAGTCATCACCGGGGGGCGGGGGGCGGCGGTGTCAGCTCCTGTGAAGGGACTCTTGTTCCCCTCCCTGTCCTCTATGAGAACCAGCCGTATCTGGAGGACCTTCCCCTGGAGGAGGTCAGCACTCCTTCCCCTGTGACCTCCTACTGACCTGTGGCTGGCCCTGGAGAAAGTCCCCTGGGGCAAGTCCTGTCTGGGGCCCTCAGTCCCTCTGGCAGTCAGAGCAAGGGAGCTGGGAGAGTCTGAAGCCAGGCTGACAACCCCAGCGTGGCCCAGGCCACACCCCTTTCTCCTTGGAGCTTGGAGACCAGGGATCTAATCCTCCTCATCTGACTAGCCTAGAAGGACCCAGGGTCAGGGTGAAGTTCTTGCCCCACAAAGTACAGAATAGCGAGATCCTGTGCTTAGGTGGTTCCAGGAGACAGGACTAGGCTGGGGTTGTTTCTGGAAAGAGAAGGGCTCCTGGGCCTAGAGCAGAGACCCCATCCCTAGATTTAGGGAGGGGAGAAATCTGCCATGTGATCTTTAATGTCTCCTCCAAAAGGCCTGTACATTCCTCCAGGTGTCTGCTCTGCCCCATCTGCGGGGAGGGGTTGTCAGGGGCCCTGGGGAGGGGTGCCCATTGGCTCCAGAGCCATGGGGCTGAGGATCCTGAGAGATTTACCAAACTGGCCTGACAAGAAGGAGAATGCAAGCTGGAAGTGACTCAACCCAGCCTGCCAGGCACTAGAGGGGGAGGAGGTGGGGAGGCCAGGGTAGGGGAGAGAAGAGTGATTTGCTGGGCAGGAGAAGGGAGGGATGTGTCCCAAGACCGCATGGGCAGGTCAGGATGTGGTCTGGGAGGGGCAACCATCTCCAGGCCCCTTCCATGAGGGCATGGTGACACTGACCCAGTCCCCTCTTCTTAGTGCCAGGAAGTCCTTGGGAGAGAACTAACGGCAGGATGGGGGAAGGAGCAAGAAAAGTGCTGGTGGGTGTCCATGGTTTGTGTGAGCATAGCTCTCTGAGGAACTTGAGGGGCAAGGGAGACTTGGAGGGGGTTGTGATGAGAGTAGTGGCCTTATTGGGGCCAGAGAACTGGGGGTAGTCCCCCTTATTTCTTTGTTTTTCCAATTTCACCCCTGCCACCCTACACCCCATCTCAGTCCAGAGAGCACTGAAAGAAAGGAGGATGGGGCTTCTGGGTCACAACGTTTACCAGACAGAGCAAGGCCACCTGCATCGTTGAGCCTCTACAATAACACTGTGGGAACGGTAAGAACTAGAAAATATGTTCATTCATTTGTTCTTTCAACAAACATGCCAGGCACTCTGCTATGTGCTGAGAGACTGGACACAGGCCTGGCCTTAAGGAACTCATAGCGCAGTGGGGGAAAACAGACAAGGAAACAATTACAAGAGAGGGCAATTTAAAAAGGAAGCCAGGGGGCCGGCCTGGTGGCGCAGCGGTTAAGTGCGCACGCTCCTCTTCGGTGGCCTGGGGTTCGCAGGTTCGGATCCCGAGCGCGCACGGGTCAGGCCATGCTGTGGTGGCGTCCCATATAAAGTAGAGGAAGATGGGCACAGATGTGAGCTCAGGGCCAATCTCACAGATGTGGGCTCAGGGCCAATCTTCCTCAGTAAAAAAAGAGGAGGATTGGCATTGGATGTTAGCTCAGGGCTGATCTTCCTCACCAAAAAATAAAAATAAAAAAACAAAAAGGAAGCCAGTAAGCTGCTTTCTGTCCTACCCCAGCTCCACCACTTATTACCAGTGTGATTTAGACAGGTTGACTAACCTGTGCCTCCTTTTCTTCATCTGAAAAGGGATACTCGCTTCACAGAGTTTTTGCAAGTCTTATATGAGATAATACATCTAAGATGCCTAGCACATAGAAATTGCTCAATTAGCATTTACCCTTTATAGGTAAACACAGAAAAGGTGCCCAGCCCAGTCTGGGGAGATTAAAAAAGGCTTCTTGAAAGAAGTGACATCTAAGTCAAAGCCTGAAGGATGCTTAAGGACGAACTGGACAAAAGAAGAGGGGGCTTTACTTTCAAAAGCTCTCCAAGCAGACAGAACAACAAGGGCAAAAGCCCCAAAACTCCTGTTGGGAACTGTAGAGTTCAAATTGCCCAAAGTATATGGTTTAAGGCATCGAGCTTTCATTTTAGGACTGTGCCCCTGCCTGCTAGATGGAGAGCATTTTGAAAGAGAGCAAGACGAGAGGCAAGGGGACCAGTCAAGACTGGACCAGCGTAGAAGCCATACAGATGGAGAGAATGGGACTCACTCATTGATTCAACACATCCTTATTGAGCCCCTCCTATGTGCTAGGTCCTATTCTAGACACTGGAGATACAGCATGAAAGAAAATCCTTCCTTTCACAGATCATATATATATTTGGTGAGGAAGATTGGCCCTGAGCTAACACCCGTGCCCATCTTCCTCTGTTTTGTATGTGGGATGCCGCCACAGCACGGCTTGATGAGAGGTGTGTAGGTCCACGCCCGGGATCTGAACCTGCGAACCCTGGGCCACAGAAGCGGAGCGCACGAACTTAACCACTATGCCACCAGGCCGGCCTCCACAGATCCTATGTTTTAATGATGGAGGATACATAATATTTTTTAAAACTAGAATACATACTACATGGAGATATGTGCTATGGAGAAAAAATAATGCAGAGGAAGAGAGATAGTGAGGGCTGGGGGAGTGGTGCGTTTTTAAATACGGAGGCCAGGAAAGCCCTCACTATATAGGTGACATCTGAACAAAGGATCTCAATGACAGGAAGAAATGTGCAATAGCGACATCTGGGGAAAGAAGGCAAAGAGAAGACCAACCGCCAAGACCCTGGGGTGTTGGGGAGACACACCAAGTGTATTTAAGGGACAACAGGGGAAGCCAATGTGGCTGGAGTAGAATGTGACAAGGGGAATAACAGATTACTTACCCAGAGGCCAGATTGTGGAGGACCTTGCAGGCAATTACAGTCGTGCATCACTTAATCACGGCGAAATGTTCTGAGAAATGCGTTGTTAGGTGATTTCGTTGTTGTGCAAACATCATAGAGTGTACTTACACAAACCTAGATGGTATAGCCTATTGCTCCTAGGCTACAAACCGGTATGGCATGTTACTGTACTGAATACTGTGGGCAATTGTAACACAATGGCAAGTATTTGTGTATCTAAACATATCTAAATATAGAAAAGGTATGGTAAAAATCCAGTATCAAAGATAAAAAATGGTACACCCATAGAGGGCACTTACCATGCATGGAGTTTGCAGGACTAGAAGTTGCTCTGAGTGAGTCAGTGAGTGAGTGGTGGGTGAATGGGGAGGCCTAGGACATTACTGTACGATACTGTGGACTTACAAACACTGGACACTTAGACTACACTAAATTTATAATAAATATTTTTAACTTTATATTTTTTAACCTTAGCTTACTGTATCTTTTTTACTTTATAAACTTTTTTTTTTTAAGATTTTATTTATTTATTTTCTTTCCCCTCAAAGCCCCAGTAGATAGTTGTATGTCATAGCTGCACATCCTTCTAGTTGCTGTATGTGGGACGCCGCCTCAGCATGGCCAGAGAAGTGGTGCGTCGGTGCGCACCCAGGATCCGAACCCCAGCCTCCAGCAGCGGAGCGTGTGCACTTAGCCGCTAAGCCACGGGGCTGGCCCATAAACTTTTTAATGTTTTCAAACTTTTTGACTCTTTTGTAATAAGACTTAGCTTAAAACACAAACACATTGTACAGCTGTACAAAATATTTTCTTTATATCCTTATTCTATAAGCTTTTTCCATTTTTAAAACTTTTAACTTTTTAACTTTTTAAAGTTTTTTGTTAAAAGCTAAGACACAAACACACACATTAGCCTAGGCCTACACAGGGTCAAGATCATGAATATCACGGTCTTCCACCTCCACATTTTGTCCTAGTGGAAGGTCTTCAGGGGCAGTAACACTCATGGAGCTGTCATCTCCTATGATAACAATGCCTTCTTCTGGAATACCTCCTGAAGGAACTGAAGATTTGTTTACACCAGCATCACCACAAACACGTGAGTAACGTGTTGTGCTATGATGTTACGACAGCTACTACATCACTAGGTGACAGGAATTTTTCGGCTCCATT